GGCTCAAGTGAGCCTCCTGCCTGAGCATCCCAAGTAGCTGGAACTAGAAGCACGTGCCACCACAGCCAGCATTTTTTTTTTTTTTAATTTTATAGAGATGGGATCTCACTATGATGCCCAGGCTAGTCTTGAACTCCTGGCCTCAAGAGATCCTCCCTACTTGGCCTCTCAAAGTGTTAGGATTACAAGGAATGAGGCTTGAGGTATGAGCTACTATGCCTAGCCATGATGTCTATCTTTAGGGTAAAGGAAAAGTATCTGTTAGGTGGATTCATGTCAACAAAAGGGCAGGGGGATATATAGTTTTCTTAAGATTCCAAGTTTGACTTGACATGATCATACTTCAATCGTCCTGCACATCTCTTCTGACTCACCCTTTCCATATGGTATTTAAGCCCTGGGTCTCAGGGTTAATGGCATGGGGATATACCATCTTGTCTCACCACCATTCAAGACAGACATGGCTCTGTTCATACATCCCTATTAAGTATTTCTTTTCAAGAAAAAAAAAAGATTCCAAGTTTTACATAATTTATGCTCTGGAATGAGGCTTAGTTAGACAATTGTGCCACTTTATTTTGTAGAGTTATAGTGTTACTGGATATTCTTAAAGGAAACAAAATCATCTTTGGTAAACTTTTTTCCAGAAATATTTTAGGCTCTGTGGTCCTTTGTTAATCCGTCAAGAATCTTAACATCCTCCTTAGCAAAACTGAGGGTCCACCAACATGTCTACCTTTGTACAGACATACGGGGGTCTGGCACCAACCAGCCAATTCATCCTGCCCAGGACGCCAGCATGCCAATAACCGCAGGGCCCTAAGGTTCCCCCGTCCACTTCAGCAAAACACACCACGGAAGCTTCATAGTCCCTAGCTGTTCAGGATGTGGATTTTGTCTTCAGCATCGATCACGTCTTTTTTGCTCAGCACTGTTGTGACTAAATCAAGAAAGTTTTGTTCTGGACATAGCAAAAGGAACCTGTGCTACTTTTTGGCACTTTGACCCAGAGTTCTCTGCAAAATTTAGATTTTCTCCTTCATTGATTCATTTGTTTATCAAATGTTTGCTAAAGATACACTATAGACGAAGTCCGGGAGGGTACTAGGGAAGAGAAGTGAAGGAGCCATAGACTTTGCCTTGGGGATGGTGAAATGTGTGACCAGTGCATTGATGAAGTTTGGGGAACAATGACTAGAGATTCAGGGAACTAAGAAGAGGAAGTCTCTCATTTTACCTGAAACGGAAGTGGGGAAGGGGGAATTTCACAGGGTGATGATATTTGAGTTATTTTAAGGATGGATGCTAAAGGAGCTGAAGGGTGGGAAGGGCCTTCCAGGCAGAGGGAAAAGTACCAGGGGAAACAGGGTGTGGAAAGTACAGATTACCTGGGGGGTTCTAAGCGGTGCACTGTGAGGGTGTTAACATTTGAACATTGGTCACAGTCCTCAGAAGCCCAGCTCGTAGGCCAAGAGGGTTCCAAATGCCCCTCAAAGGCTCTGGAGACCAGTTTGAGCAACATAATTAAAACCCATCTCTACAAAAAATAAAAATAAAAAAACATTAGCTGGTGGCATGTACCTATAGTCCCAGCTACTCAGGAGACTGAGGCATGGAAGGATCACTTGAGTCCAGGAGGCTGAGGCTGCAGTGAGCTATGATCGTGCTACCACACTTCAGCCTAGGTGACAGAGGGAGCCCTTTCTTAAAAAAAAAAAAAAAAGAGCTGGAAACTGGAAACACCAGAACACCAGGTGGGTCTGCAGCATTGATTCCAAGACCTCAGTTGGCCAGTGCACTGCCTGACCCTGGCACCTCTCCTCTCTTGATGGTTAATTTCACTATGTCGAGAGCCAGGGCTGGAGACCTAGAGCTGTCCGGCCAAAGGGGTGGAGGAGAAAGGGATAGTCCTGCGCACAGAACGAAGTTACTGAAGGATGTTTTAAAAGCAACTATCCCACCAGGAAGGATGTTGTAGGGAGGTGGGGGGAGAGACGTAGGTGATCTTGAACTTGAAGAGTCTGAACAAGTTTCAGCCTGTCACTCTAACCAAATGAGACACTGACAGGGAAAGTTTTTCAGTTTTTCAAA